AATATCAGTTTTACACTTCACTACCCCTGGATAGTTACTACTGTAGCGCCCCTAGCGGATTGTGATATACCTACTCTATCTCTCAGTAATGGCATCTGAAGGCTGCTATTACAGATATTGGTTTGTGATCATCATGGGTGATTATTGCTCTGCCTGTGTGTGCTGCACACATGACTAGTGGTTGATCCACCACCCCTGGGTGTTTTGTGCTTGATACCTGACCAATGATAATTTGTATGAACAACTCATCAAGGTGTACTTTCTGGATATGTGACATCTACTTCTGCTTTGATCTTTACCATATGCTTGAACATGTTTCCCTGTCTTGGCATCAAATTAAATTCTTATCAACTCATTGAAACTAAGAAATTCAATATCTTTTTCAGTCATCACTGGCAGGGCCATAGAGTAGTGTAGAAGGATAAAGTTACCAGTTGGTCAGAATCTGGATGTTGGACATTAGTTGGACTGTGATCACCCAGGTGAGTCCTGTATGGTGCCTAGCTAAGAGTTTACTAGTCTTCTCTCTGTTTCTGAACTTACTTTATCCTTTTTGGGCATCTCACCCTTGAGTAGTGGAATGATTTTGGTAGATAAGTGTATCAATTTATCTCTGAGGTTCGTAATTGTGGTGTCTTGCCTTTGGGATGTGTCAAGAAGGTGTTCTTTATTTGTTGCTTTATTGATTTGAACATTACGATATCACTTTTTCTGAACATGTGTGTAGCCCTGAAAAGGTCTTGTTTTTCATTTGGGCCACAGGTTTACTTCTGTAGGCATTTTAGAATGGCTGCTGAGTGGCATTTCACTTTGGTTGAGGTGACTACTTTCTTCTTTTTGGTTTTCATGATGAAAAACAGGGCCTGGACTTCTCAGCGCTGTCGATGGCCTTTTTCCTGAAGCTCTGCACATTGTACTAGTAATGTAACCTTTTATGATACACTCCTCCATCATGTCAGTGATTTGTCCAAACTCCCTCAAGGTCTTAGGACTGTAGTGGTGGTAATGCTTATGCAAAAGCTTAAAACTCTCCTCCAGAGTTTGAAGCATGGGGTTGTTCTTAATTGCTTGTAGTTCTTCAAACTCCGAACTATGTACGGCACAATGGGTGCTCACTACATATGGTCTGCCAGTCTCAAGTCTTGTGTGTACACTGTTATTGGTATCTCAGTTGACAGAGGCTCCATCTGATTATGATTCAGTCATGAAGTGATGACTTAATCAATCAATGGCACACACAGTGCACAGGGGTTTGTCAGACTGGTAAGAGACTAGCTAATCCAAATCTGGTCCATTTGCAATTTGAGAAGGTTTGGAAAGCTGGTGAATGACATTTCACTGACCACAACACAGTAAGCAGTGTTGAATAGCTTCTTCACAAGGCTGTAGTGATGGTCCCCTCTCTCTTGTTCACAATCTGATCTAGAGGACCAGCGCAACAATCAGCTTCAATCCTTTACTGCACTGTAGTAGCCTCCATATAACACATCTATGAGCCTGAGATGAAAAGTGTCCCCCAAGGCTCTCAGCTCTGCATTATATTAATGACACAGATATTTATTTATTTAGAAAAAATATTATTATTATTATTATTATTATTATTATTATTATTTACCCGTAAGATTAGCACCTAGTGATCTTACAGAAAGAACACCCCATCCCCTGGGTCTGTATTCAGCAGTCCTGGGTACTTGATTGACCTTGTGGAAACACACTCCCAAACACTCTTCTATTCATATTTCTTTTTCTGTTCTTGACATTGTTTTCTATTTTGGAAGTTCCAGAAAAGTAAAAACTTTTATTCATTTGCTTTTTGGAACTCATTTTTGGGTCAAAAATTCTGGCATATCATTATTCACATATTATAGATCCACATGAACTATATAAATATGTTGTCTAATCTTTTCCTCACAAGAGTTTCAGAGAACTGGAGTTGACACTTTCCTCTACACACATCTATCATATTAATAAGTATATAGGGAGGGGAGAAAGGAAAATGTTTTGAACCAAAATAGATGCTCTTCATATGTGTGTGTAGTGCAGGCTCACTCCAGTTCACTGAAACTCATGGTGGATCTTTTCATGTTTTTTTTTAGATAATCCGTGGGATTGGCTGAGACATGGACAGGGCCCATTATGTCTCTCGACCCAAACCTGGCGATGATGAAGATGACCTGTTGGAGTTTCAGAGAACGTTTCTCTCCAGTAAAGCCTCGTCTTCTGCCACTGTCGTGACAAGTTCCAAACCAGATAAAAGAGCTGATGAAGCTATCAATGGAAACGAGACAGCAGCCATTAAGACAACCCCAGCAGAGAGGGATGTTGTTAAGTTACAAGGTAATATTCTGTCATGGATTGCTTAGCCTAGGCATATTTTAATACCTCAGGTTTTTGGGGATTGTTTCACAAAATATTTTAAATCGGTAATTTAAATAATAGCATATGTATACCCATTTTGCAGAGTCATAATTTTGTTCATTCATATTCATGTACAGATCAGCATCCATTGTGTCCTGAGTAGTTATATAAACACTTGAGTAGTTTGTCTACAGCTCTAATAATATATGTTCATTATATAAAGATTATTTTTTACATTCACAAACGGCTAGGCAACATAATTACCAATTAGAGAAATGGTAATGCAACAATTGTATCATCATTAATATATCATGTTGTACAAGGTCATGACAATCTATGTACCAGTACAGAAATAAATTGAATCTAATCACCAGTTTTATTCAGTATGTAATTTTTGATAAAAAATCTGCTCAATTTGGGCTTTAGTAACAAAACAAAGTTTACAGCAGAATCTTTTGAAATATTTTTTTCAGGCTTACCGTCTACCCTTCCCACAGTCCCGACAGATATACCACAGACACCCAAGAGATCAAAATTTCGGCAGAAAAATGACGCAGGAAAAAGTTCTACAGAATATATGGAAGACCCAGAAGAGAGTTTAGAAAGTAATTCTGTTAACATAACTGTCATTGAAATTGCAGCAAAATGATGGTCATTGAATTTTTGTTGAAGATAGTTTAACATTATAGCAGTCTATATATAGCTAGATTATTTGTCCAATTTCTGGACTTGTTTCTCCAATTATATGTATTTTATTATTATTATGCCACTTTATTTGCTAGTTAATTGTTATTTTATTTTTAAAAAATGCAAATATATATATATTTTTTGCCTCAGGTACCATCTGAAATTTCATGTTTTTCTAGATGTTCATTGTATTTAAAATTTTTTCTTCGTAGAACATGACAGACATATCACAAAAGTATTGTCAGAGATTAAGGTGGGTGTAAAATATCTATCCTTTTTCTCAAAAATGCATATTGTATAATAGACCAGTCACTTAACAGTACAAAATTGGAAGATTAATACTTGGGGCCTGTATTAACATTTAAAAAACTGTCTCCTCTTCTGTGCATAGAAATTATGACAATTATTCCTTAAATCAGTGAAGGTAGCATATTATAGCATTTCTTTGCTAAATTGGTGCTTGCCATTAGACATAGTTATATTTTATATTCCAAGGAGAGGGATGTTCACCATGTACCAGTGTATTTCCCCAGACAGGTGTCTGATGCTTTCCCTAAGGTACTACAGTGGGACCCAAAGTCTAAGGTAAATATCTGTA